GATATAAAAATGAACGCAAATGAAAAGTGCGAATTAGGTCACCGGCAATTTTATGACACACTTTGCGGCACGTATTTTTACGTTAAAGAGTTATCGCGCCAATATCAACCCTACATATTGTCGTTGTAAACATGTCAAGAAATTTAATAGCACAAAACTGGGACACACCTGCTGTAGTCTGGTTAATACGAAGACTTTACGTGTCTATTAATTACTTATATATTAGAAGATTGAAATTATATATATAGTATTCCGTAGTATTTACATAGTATATGTAATTTCTAAATTTTTATAACATTAAATTGCACAGTTATTTTTAAAAACTCTCTGTTATTCTTATCATTGTAATCTTAATTCAATGTAAAATTTAATATATGATTCCTTAGTATGAGAAGCTTATATTTTTGTAACAGGCCGTAGACGGTCCAGCTTGCAAAAATTGCATACCTTACAACTGGAAGCTCCTATCACTAAAGTCATTATGTTACTTTCGATTGCGGTCACGGATACAATTAATCCGGAAACAGCAGCGCAGATCGATAAAGTAAGATTAATCGAGATGCTTGTCATCCTAGTCATGTCTGTCCAATTAAATAGATATATGTTGTTTGCTGTTACATCTTCTACGTCTTTCACAGGCAATCGATATCCTAAAGACGACGGAACTCTACATACCGCATCTTAAGGAAGATAGAGCAATATGTTGCGATCCAGTTGCAACGGATCTCGTTGGCGCATTACTTGCTGTAAGAATTTTAGTGTTCTTCGTTTCAAATGAAAAAAATAACAAACTTGTAATAAATATAAATCATGCATTTATGAAGATTTGATGAGATTTTTTCTCTTTATTGATATATTTTGTCGTTATTTGATTATTAGTCTCCACGCACAGCATGGGAATCTAGAAGGTCGTCGTCGGATTCTGCGAAACTATCCACTATCAAGGCTATCACCAGTCCGGTCAATTCGCGCATGCAAGTAAAAAATTTCCGGGGACCGCAAGAAATTATGGAGATACTAGACAGAAGTCTCGACTGGGACTTCGATATATTTAAGCTTGAAGTATTGACGGAGAAAAGGTGGGTCATGTGAATTACATCATTTTGTGCGATATATTTTGTAATAGTTTATAATTATTAATTTAAAACAGATGTCCTGCATTTTTTTCGTATAACGACTCATTATGTTTATTATGTCTCATGTCTTGTTTGCGTTTTGATTTATTACAGACCGCTCGTTTTCTTGGGATTGACAATCATGAATTTATATCAAGTGTCCACTATATTACAATGCGATGAGAGAATATTACAGAACTGGCTAGCCATTATCGAACACAATTACAACGCGGAGAATAGTTATCACAATTCAACGCACGCGGCCGATGTCTTGCAAGCCACTGCGAGATTTATGCAATCAAAGAGACTCAAAGAAATTTTAGAACCTTTAGACGAGGTTGCTGGTCTAATAGCCGCCGCTGCGCACGACATTGATCATCCTGGACGATCTAGGTGAGATAGTTTACTTTCAATATTGAAAAATAAGATATATTAAAAATACAAAAATGTAGCTTTTTAATGATATGCTTAAGTTACATATATACAGATTTTTATTTTAGTCACAAAATATTAGGAAGAAAACTTGACAGAATTTTTTAATTATTTTTGAAGTAAATTATTTTATAAAAATTTAATTAATATCATGCAAAAATATCTAAACTCTTGACATATGTTGATAATTTGATATTGAATTTAAATTCATTTCCAGTCAATTTCTTTGCAATGCCAACAATCGTTTGGCAATACTCTACAATGATTTATCGGTTCTCGAATCGCATCATGCAGCCTTAACATTTAAACTATCATTGTCCGACGATAGTGTGAATATCTTTAAAGTAAGTTTTTCGTGTTCGTTGAATCGCTTGAATTTAAAGGTGAATGTGTAGACTAGAAGCTAAAATTATAACGCTGGATTGAATATATGCTTTAGAATATGGACCGAGATGCATACAAACTATTACGACAAAATGTCATTGACATGATTCTGGCGACCGAAATGACGAAGCACTTCGAGCACCTGGCGAAGTTCATGAATGTTTGCAGCGCAAGAATTGGCGACGGTCAAGAGGTACTGTATATTATTTTCAGGTTAAAATTATTAATAATTTTATTTTATATTTAATTTAAATATCTAATTAATTATCATTATTAATTTTCTACTATAGATTAAATTTGTAATATATCATCCTCATTATTATCTTCTTAATAGTTATATGGATCAAAATATAAAAAAATCTAATTACATTCTTCAACAATATGATTCTCTATATTCTTATCATCCAAACATAAATGATTAAAAATCAGTTTTGCAATATTAAAAAAATTATTTTAGAAATGTTTAACATAGATATATCTAATGAAGATGAGATTATAATTTTATATAAATTTATTGGATACTATAAATTGTTCTAATTCGTGTTCAGGATATACAATGAATGAAAATTTAAATTTAAAAAAATCTTTCACAGACATATTCAGATTCTGTGGACATGTCTGTGGTATTACAGCCAGAAAATATAATGCTAGTTAAAAGAATGATGATCAAATGCGCAGACGTATCTAATCCAACGCGGCCATTGAAATGTTGCGTCGAATGGGCGAGACGAATCGCGGAGGAATATTTTAATCAGGTGATTTTGATAATTAGTAACTAAAAAAATTCATACAAAGAAGATAATTCACTACTCTCACGTTCAAATATTTATTGATAATTTTCAGACCGATGAGGAAAAAAAGTTGAAAATGCCAGTCGTAATGCCAATGTTCGATAGAATGACGTGTTCGATACCGAAATCGCAAATTGGTTTCGTCGATTATATCATTAACGATATGATTGAGGCTTGGGATGGTTCGTTCTCTTCATTACTTTAGACTCCTCATTAAATATTAATATTCGAATTGTTATTTTTGCCATTTGTTATTTTCGTAGTGTTTATCGACATGCCAGAAATAGTGGGCTATATGCGACAAAATTACGAAAAATGGAAAGAATATAATGTAAGTTTTTTTAATTTAATCCGCAATTTAATTACTTCGAGATAATTAACGCGATCACTGTACAGCGAAATCACTGTACAGTTATATAACAATATTCATTAATTTCATAGTAATATTATTTCAATTCAAATCAAAATTTAGAAATAGACAGAACATCAGATATTTAGACATTATAATCCGGATGTTTAAGTTCTAAGGTTGTTTATTGATATGTTTCGTTTTAAATTATGTTTTACAGGAACAAGGTATATCCACTTTACAGGATCTCGAGAAACTACAACAACTTCCCGAAATGCAAATATTATCTTGAAAAGCGTGTCTCGTTTTGCATCTCATTTCATGCCTTGTTATGTAATATTTACGCTGCGATTATCGCAAAGACATGTATAGTATTTATGTATTTAAGGATAGAGCAATGATATCGTGTTTCGAGTCGTTTTTAAGAAAATACATATAATTTGCCGTTTCGCGTGCCACTAGCATTTTCATTATTTATATATAACTCCATTCTTCTCAATGACATTCGCCGTATTATTATTTTAAACATGTGTGTGACACATTAATAAGATACTTGTAGTCTAATGAAAGAAATACCTTTGTGCAGCTCCGAAGAATGTTATTTTGAGCAAATTCTTCGCTGCGTTCGCGCATGCTGATCATTAAATTTGTACATGAGACAAATAAATAAAAACATTGCATTTAAAATTGTTTCTTATTTCTTACAGCCAGAAATGAATCCTTCGCCTAATTTTGCCATTAAGTTTCAACTAATGTTTGGAATAGAGAGGAGAATTGGTATAACTTAAGTCGAATGAAAACACTCGCACTATGTAGGTCAGATTTCACTTTATTGTTTCTTTCAGCTAAGAAATGGCGTAGGGCCTATTTCTATGCGCTGCATAAAAAAAATACAGAATTAAATAAAATCAGATATAAAATATAAGCCATATCCAGATGAAATTTTGCACAGTTTTTATCAACAGAGCGTATACAATTTCAATTATGCAAATTACAAATTTTTCGTTTTTTTTTGTTATTACAGAAAACACATTCGCTTTTTCAATCTAAAATTGTCCTGATATAATGTTGTTGCATCTAAGAACATAATAATAATTATACATTTATGTACGTTATAAACTAAAAAAGATGAGAATAATAACATCAATAATCCATCGAGTTACAAGTATCAGCCTAACGGATGGTTACTAATGTAAGTCACATTCATTGTAAAGATTCTTACGTATGCTGACATATTCTTACAGTATATATGCATTACACCATAATACGTCTACGGGACGCACGGATGATCATGGCCGTTTTATCCAGTATCAACGAGACATTGATCTTTTTTACCTCGAAAGACAATCAGAGAGTATTGAATCATTTTTACAGTTTATTCGAAGTATGACACGTAAATACACGGAATACTTCACAATAATATTTTGGAGTAAAGATGAAGATAACGATAAGATTCTTTTATAAGGTAAGCCTCCTGTTTCTTATCAATTAGTAGCGGGCCCATAATACCGAAGATGTCCACCAACAGTGCCAACACACAGTTGATGGATATAAAATAACTTAATTACCTTAGATAGCTTATTATTATTATTATAATGCCACATAGTATGATTCATCGAAAGGTCATCTAGAAATTATGCTTAATGCTAAATGCTCGCTGCTTTTTGAACGTACCCACAAGTGCATTGCTAAAATTAAGAATTTACTTTGCTTAAGTCTTTCCCTTTTAGAATATGTCTTTTAATCAAATAAAAGAAATTCGCTTCCAGTGAAAATTGAGATTTGCCATCGATAACCATTTTTTTTAATTTCTAAAATTATACTTTTCGCTTTTGATCGCTGAGATTTTCGATAATGGTTATCGTCCAGTTTAAACATCACAGATAAATCTTCTTTTTTTGGTTGCGTAAAATAAAAAATTTATTCATTTTACAGAAATAATTATAATAATAAGATTGTTTCTCAATGTATTCATTGTTGTAATCAATAGCATTTTTAGATACGATTCCAGGATCTATTTCGAGATTGCTTTATTAGCAGCACTTGTGTCGTTAATAATCGGAATTCCAAGGATAAAGAATTAGCGTAGTTCATTGTTAATATGAGACATTTATAATAGTTTTATTGGCATATAGCCTTTCCTTAAAAATATTATTCTTAGCATTATTATAATAGTACACATATATATCTAAGCTTTCTCTTTTTTTTGGTGACGTGCACGTCATTTTTTGTTATTGTTTTATGCTGTCGCTTATTACCTTTCCAACATACTTTTCCCCAATAAGGGCAAGCCATTACAATTCAAATTATGTAATCCGATGAATCGCCGTCTTCATCGATTGTGGTGCATTGCTGCTAAAATTATCTTCACGCGAAGCTAACGACGCTAACGACTAAAAACTGATCAAACTATGACCTATCTTTCGTGCAAATAAATATCGTGCTCACGCAATCATCGCGGTAAAAATTATTAAATCCCAAAAAGAAACTCAAGGGTATCATAACGGCTCGATGAAAATCTATGTTGCGCAAAGCTAACACTGACGTTAATCATAACTTAATTTCTTATGCATATTAAACGAGAAAGAAGCAAATCGAAGGAAACTTATTCTAAGAAAAACGCGTATAATCCAATATCCTAAAATAACACGCATGTAGGCGTAACCTGTATTAAGAATACGCTCTTAGCACTCTCCGTGTCTTCTAAAAACATTTGGTAACTTTTGTTGATTTAATATTCCTCCATGGGATCAAAGTGATTTACTTTAAGCTTATAAATATGATTTTTAACTCGCGACAAGTAAAGTGTGTCTTCGATATTTGTAGCGATTTTTGAATAAACCGGCATTCAATTTTCATCACGACTGATCGAAGACGCGCTGTTTCTATTTCGGTCAATTTCTCTATTTTTAGTGGTTTGCTCAGCGAAGTACGACCGGAGTGAGAAAAGGTTTAGAAAAACTCTTGATTGAAGTCCTTTTTGCTGTAATGCAATGATTGGATAATTTTAAGTATTTTAAATAGTTATAATACAGAGGATTATTTATAACGAAATTACACGTTTTGATACACTTTTAGAATTTCCGTCTTTAAATATGACTGTCTAAAATAACAGGCTGATAAGCAAAGTGTATTAGATAGTCTACTATTACACCACTCCATGATTTCGACGGAGCGTTTAAACGTCGTACAAAGAAAGGCTCGATAATAAATCGATGATGTTTGCTTGAATAGTCAGACGGCGTTGTTTTCACAGAGGAATTCGATCGTATCAAATCTGTTTTTCTTTTCACAACACCGTCCATTGTCAGCCCCAAATTCGGTTCGTAAGGCGCTACGTCTCGCGGCAATCGCGGAATGACGAACCGATGAGAATTCCGATCATATAGATTGTAGTTTCACAAAGTAGCAAGAATATTCGAAATGCCGTCGCGAGGAAAAACGGCGGAGTCGATTTCCACAAAAATCCCTGTATTCAAAGTCGATGTATTCTTGGACAGGATAGTCAGTGAAACGTCACGTGACGTAGGAGAGCGCCTCCTTCTCATCGCGGCTATTTAAGATGAATCCGCGATTCGCGCCGAATCAGAAGTCGACTCGAATGATACCGGAATCGTCTGGTGATCTACGAGTAATTAATCGAAGTCCACGTTCCACATAAAGTACGGTATTCCCGCGTTGTGAATTTTTTGTGTGAACTCCGGGATTTCTCCGGTCGGGAGTGCAATCTTTGCGTCCTCATTTATAGCTTACTAATAGCTTACCTTAAATGGGCTTTCAGTACAAGTTTTTAGCTATAAGGAAATTGTAATGTATCGATATTCTTAAGATTACTTAATAGTAATTATTTGCCTTATCAAGCATCGTCTTTTGGATCTAGACCCAAATATATGCTTATTAGTACGAAATATTTTGTGCGATTCTATGTATACGAACAAGATTGATTCGAGATAATCTTAAGCTAACGGTCCTTATGTCTTCGCACCCACCCATCCAACTACCGACAAGAGCGGCATTGAAAACGCGTGCCCTTAATTCTGGAAGAAGAGAAGAGTAAGGAATTTTACCGCGAGTCACTTGCGATATCCGGATCTTTAATAGTCGTATTGCATTTGATAAATCGCGCGTTCCGAACGCGTATGAGGTACAAGGCTTTGCAGTTGCGGTGGGCGTGTGATTCTAAACTAGTCCCTGCGCTATCTGATTGATCCTGCGCCATCGTTGTTCCATCGCCTAAGTTGGTCGATACTCAATTTCCGACGGTCTGTCGGCCCAAGATTGAGCTTTCACTTAAACTCCCTGCGTGATCTTACGCAAACGGACTAGCTTCTTACGGTTCTGCTGCTTATAACTTACGACTAGCCTTAACTTTATTATCGTGTTTTCGTTATCTTTTCAAGTGTTGAGTCGCGAAACCGATTTGTATATACGAGCTATCAGTAATCTCCCCGATATTTATATGTCTCTCGCGCACATACTACTTTGCTCATCCACCTTGTGGAATTATACGAATTAGGTGACGTTATTTGAATCTTTGAATCTGCTTATGCGAAATTTCTCTATCGTCTCGCAAAGAAAGTTGTGATTATAATTGTGTTCAAAATCGCCTCATCTATATTACGTGATCCAAAATTAAGATCCGCGTTAAGATCTATTTTTTTATATACAAATTTACCCAGTCTGTCGAATGGAAGAATTCAAGTGTGAGTGAAAAAGAGTTTCTCGCTTATATTAGATTTTAACGAAGGGGAGTTTTTAAATCTACAGCACGGTGTGAATTCACAGTGTGAATTAATGGATTCTCGATTGACGCATTCTTACGTTGTCCTAAAAACTATTGATTAATCGGTATTTAGGTAGACGATTTACCACTTAGACTTCGTGTAAGCAACTCTTAACGAGTCAAGAAGATGTGCGATATTTGATGTGTGCTTATTGCAGCCTTTTATAAATGTAAATATTTTGTCGGCGAAAACTCATCCACTCCGGAATGGATGACTTAGATTTTGGTAAGCCTTTTGTAATTGCAATGTATTTGCCGTAAAGTCAAGTGGTAAGTTGTTATTCGAGGGGTTCTTGCGTATATAAGTGCATGTACGTTAATCTCTCGGATTCGAGAAATTCATTATACGCTTATAATAATGATAATTATGATAATATCGCCCGATCAATAATATTAACGAGAGAACGAGTAACCTCCTTATTCAGTCTAGCTTACAATAGAACTTAGAGTTAATTTCTGTAGATGTAAGTTGCGATTATTATTCGATAACGATAAAATTCTTTCGCTCTTGCTTCAATTTTCATTCGCTCTCGTTTTTAGCCATCTATATTTTTCACACCTCGAAGATTTTCTTTTCTCCTTTTTTTGGATTTTTTGATTCTTTTTTTTCTTTGTTTTCCTGCAGCTTGTGCTTGTTATCGACAAGTATCAACATTCTGTCAAGACTGTTGATGAGCTGATAAGCTCCCGTCATTTATTATAGAGATCTCTTTTTTACATGTATCTAAATACACATGTTACACGTGTAATTAATATATCCGTGTTTCAATCCGTGTAATTTTTAGTATATGGATACACGGATATTGAAATACACGAGTACATGAATATCTTTAATACACGATCAAAACCATGATCTCTACTTTATAGATGTCCATTGTGCCCCTTGTTTTCCGCAATTGGTGGGACGACTTCGATCGTCCCGTTTCGCGGCTATTGGACCAGCACTTTGGCATCGGCCTCCATCGAGATGATCTCATCTCGAGTCTCTCCGGACTTGGCCTCGATCGACCGTCCGTACGCTTTGGGAATAGATACTATCGACCATGGGGGAACGTGACGCGTCAAAACTCGAGTGGGACCAGCACGATCCAGTTGGACAATGATAATTTTCAGGTTAGTATTTGTAGATTGATTTTAAAATATCAAATAATAAAAACGGGACGCTGCACGATTAAATCAAAAGTGAATTTGTAAATCTTTTTTTTCTTTTTGCGAATCTTTTGATTTGAGCGATAATTTTGAATTGAGTCTAAACGTGGACTTTTGTAAATAGAATAAAGTTTTTAATTTGTAGCTGTACGTCGTCTACAAGAAGCTTTGAAATGTTAGAAAACTTGGTGCTTCTATTTTAATTTATTTACGAACATTTCAATGTTCAAGTAATTTTACTGATTTTATATTTTCAAGCTATTTTACTGAAAAATGATTTTGACTTGATTAAAACGCTGTTAGTAATTTAAATTCAAATATCTTATAAAAAAGCGAAATAGTAATTTCATATTTTATTTTTTCCATTTGAATGCAGATTTATTAGAGGAGATTGCCAAACTATTTTTGTTTTCTTCGATATTTGAACTAGTGCATTTGAGTGTCTCTACTTTTGTTTCTGTAAATTTGTTCCCGTTTATTAGATAGTATTAGAAATTTATTCTATTTATTGCATCGACAGATCGAACGGTAGAATGTATTGTACGGAATTTTTTATATAGATCAGATGATCAGAAAATACGTCCCTTTTCGCGATCAATCCCTCATGCATGCTCATCTATGTTACGTGACGTTACATAAAAGTAATCTTTGTTGTTTTGTTACCAAATGATTTACCTTTTTGTGGTGAAAAACGGTCTTATTAGAAACTTTACAAGAATTTTGCTTTAGCCAGTACTTCACTTGCTGTTATTTTATTCATTTTGATGTCAATGAATATTTTCTCACAAGACATACGTTTAATCGGTTTAATTATTAGCATCTAGTTGCAAATGTTGCGATCAGACGGACTTGTTGAATTCGAAGTTTTTTGTCGAAATGAATTTTATTTTGCAAACTATATGACTCATATATCCTAGCTGAAGTATTGAATTTGTCAGACGTTAGCTGATTTTGGTTAAGCTTTTTTTCACAAAATCATTAATGCATTTTTATCAGGAAAGTGTTAAAAGCTTACTTAAGATATATTATAGGGCGGAAGTACTGCTGTATAAACGGTCCAAGTCCTTCTTTCGCAGGATCCTGGATAAAATTAGCAGGATCCTGTGAAAGATAGGAATTGACCAGAAATGAAGATTTAGAATTAATAGAAGTTTATAGGGAAGATTTAACGTCTCTTTTACTGATCGACTCAACAGTAATAATCGATAACGCAAATAGACGATAAAATTGTTATCACGATTGATCTGCAATTCAAATCGTACCGCTAATTTCGTCTCAGAAGAATCGTTATACTAAATTGCTTATATATAATTTTTGTAAGCCGCTTTTACACTGTGTGCTTTTATAATTTTTGGAAGAACTCTTCTCCAATCTCAAAATAACATAAAATGGAGAAATTATTCGTAATACTTTCCTGCCAAATGTGCGTTCATCTGGTTTGATTTCGTGGTATGGCAAGAAAGCATAAACAAGAAGCAATGCGCGTTAAAATTACCACGGAAAGTCCCGAACGCGAGTGTGATGCAACGTGTTATTTTTAAACGGTTTTTCGCGTATTTTTAGTATAACTTTGTAACGCTGCGAAACTGTCTACAGCTGGCTGAAACATACTGGCTTTCTCGAATTACGGGAAAATTATAGCCGTTGCGTTTTCGACACGGAGCGATCAAAGAAATACGGCTTCAAGGATGCAGAAATATCAGAAAAATCCACACAAGACTCGCGATTCGGGATGATATGCACGCGATTAATGCTTAGGATTAACACGCGCTGCGGAATATATCGATTATCTTACGCTGCAGTTATCCTAAAATGTATAGCAGACAAGTCGAGAATCAAGAATCAATCGAATGCCCTGCTGTCGCGTCCGAGAGTATGAATTCAGATCGATTTAGATAGAATTTACACAAAGTATTCCTATTTTTCTTTCTTTCTCTCTCTTAGAAAGGTTCTTTAAATGCAGATAAAGATTATTGTTGTCCCTTTAATTATAAGATAGATATTTCATCGTTCGTTAGATATTTCACTTTTCGTCGATAGATATTTAACTTTTGATTTCGCACTGGATAAAACGTCCGCGAGGTTGCTACCTTCTGATCTTTAAGATCGTTCAGTTATCACCTCGAATCTAGCATAACTTAGTAACTCGATAGTAATATCGATTAATTGATATTTGTTGCAATCAGTCGCTGTTGCCTATAATGGTTTATAATGGTCAATTTTGCTTTATGTATGTAAGCTGCAGATACGTATTTATTGGTCACGAAAGCGTGTTGCGACACGCTTAAAATTCAAATTTGCAGAAGTAATCGGTTATGCTGAAATGGTTATTTATCTTATCTCTCTGAAAGTTTAGTGATATAACCGCGAGTGGAATATAACTGGTTTATTCTGTACAACAACTTAATCACGGTCTGAAGCGATAGCTTTTTTCTTTTTATAATGATTTTTTTTTACATCGAATACAAATATGCAACTTGCCTAAAAGCTCTTAAACTCACGAATTCGTCTGCGGTTCATCAAATTACATTCGCATTTTATCACGGATGTAAGACAATTAACCTAACAGTTCTAAATTCATGAATTCGAATTCGCTCTGTCTCAATGCGCTACAATTACATTTCCTCGAGAAAGTTTCAATGATGCAACAGCGAACGGAATGTGTTCGATTATGTGTGGTACAACTTAGGCTAAGACACGACTTAAACTCTTTAGCGATTCAAGTTTCCTTATTTTGATATTTGTAGTTCGAGCGCGATTTGTATTGGACGCATAACAAATTTTGTGTCGAATACAAAGAGCTTCGAATGATATCCTATGAAAAAAAGTACAATATGTAATAAGTATATTATAGGGGAAGATACTTTCTTTTACATTATCTTCTAGCGAAAAAATGAGTAGCGAATCGTAATTAGATTTCGAAATATAGAAAAGTCGCAGGAGATAAATGATCGAAGTTGGCGGAAGTAACGTGAGAGGGAAGGACGAAAGAGCGCATTCGTAAGAAGGAAAATAAAAAGAGTAGGAAGAGGAGAGGGAAGGGATCAAGAGGGGAGGAAAGGGAAGGAAGAAAGAAAGAAATAGGACAGAAAAAAAGATGTTAACAGAAAAGATTGAAATGGAGACTGTCTATTTGAACGGATTCGAACGTTACTTTCGAAGGGGACGAATCAGCCGCGCGGCCGTTAAAAAGAAAAAAAAAACCCCGTCCCTTGACGCCGATCCCCTTGGATGAAACTAAATATAAAGGAGTTAAGAGACGGGGTGAAACTTAACGCTTGATAGGGGCGATTAAAAGCAACGAACGAAAAAGAATCCGGAACACCAGAAGGCCCGAAAAACTGATGACTGCATCTGCTGCAGCTGTCGCTGTCTCTATCGTCATACACGCATATATTATGTATTTACGCGTTATAATTACGCTTTCATAATCGCGCGATCGCGAAGTCGACCAGGAGGGCGGCAGCTAGATTTTCAACGGGTCAGAATGGTGAAACGAGTGTTTGACTGGAACTATTTTCGGGGGCTAGGGGACGTGTTTTTGCACCCCCCTCTGGGGGAGGGAGAGCGAATAAATTGGAAACGACTTTTCCTTTTTTTTTTGCGAATTTCGTTTTTACTTTCTTTTTTAGTTTTCTCTTCCCCGCAAAGATTCAAATAATTTAATGCTCGTCAGAAAAACATCCACGGCGTTGTCCTTCTTTTACTATGATTTTGTGCCGAAAAGAATCTAACTTCTCCTACAGCAGTAGTTTATTCCTGTAGTAGTTCATTCAATCATCCTATTCACTTCAAATTCTTGGTACAAATCGAGGGTTAGCAGATCCCGTATTATTATTATTATTATTATTATTATTATTATCGTTATTACCAGATTCTATTCTATTCCTTCTAGTTTTTCTTCTCGTTTGCCGAAAATCATCTAGAGATATGTGTATCACGAAAGAAGGACGCTCCATAATTTCCGGCTAGTCACATCAGTTATGGAATCTCTATGAAATCACAGTTTTACCACAGTTTTCGTTTTACCTCCCCCTTATTTAATCTTATTGTACATGTATGTGTGAATGTGTATATATTTTTCTCTTTTATTTTATTTTCACTCTTCCTTCTCTCTGTCTAGTTCTGCAATATTTTTTCCTTCGCGCAATCGCGCTCACGGTTTGCCGCAGGTTCGAGGTGATCTGTATCTAATTCCGTTCTTGTGATTTTTCGTTCAGAGTCGCACGCGAGAAATCACGCGCAGCAGCCACGGAATAAAATATGCAACCGAAAGAGTGGATGTATCGCGTCACGCTTAGTCAGTCTTGTTCGAATGGAAGAACCGAAACTCGCGTCGTCCTGACGAACGCACCTCCCAACGAAAAGGGTACGTCGCGAACGGGACCCGCGGGCCCCAATTCCCCGTTTATAATTATACAAAAATAAATGCTTTTTGAATTACCCACAACAATAGAGTCGTACAAAATGATTTTTGTGTTTTATTTCTTTCTTATACGGAACTCGTTTTCTTTTTATCTTTTTATTTGTACAAAATATGTCGCTCTGCGCGCAGCACTCGAGTCGACTATTCGCGGATCGATCGCTCCGCAAACTTCTTTCTCCTCTCTTCTTTTTTTTGGTACTATTTTCGAAATGCACAGCCTAATCTTTTCGCGTTCGTATTTCACCGAGAACTCCAAGATCATATAAAATCTCCCGGAGGGACTCGGGTACGTTTGCCTCACTATCGTCGGTTGTTAAAGCTTCCTCGTTCTATGACAGAGTGTTATTCATTTTTTTCTCTCTCTCTCTCTCTCTCTCTCCCCCCCCTCTCTCTCTCTCTCTCTTTTACTTCCTACTTTATCTTTTTTTTTTGTTTTTTTTTTGTTTATTTATTTTTTTAATGTGTTCGTAATCGTTTGTCTTCCTCGCCGAAGCGAGCCGCCGGCCGCAAAGGGACCAGCCCCTGCGAGACCGCGCAAAGGGATTGCTCCCTGCACGACCGCGCACTCACTACAGATAAAGAAGATTCACCTACTTGTATGTATGCTCGTTTTTTTTTCCTTATCCAAAAAAAAGGAACAATCTCCACACAAGTAGGTGCGCCCGACAACTACATCTTCCCGATTTGTTTTTGTATCATAACGCGCGATAATATAAAGAAATGCGAAAAATTACATGTATGAGAGAGAGAGTCAAAACGAGGAAAAAAAATATTAATAATTTTACAACGCGCTTATTTGATGGTCAGAATAAGATCTAAAATGTTGGCCGAATTGTCATTTTCCTCGCTCGTCACGGAAACTCGAACAACCGTGTCTGATCGGCGGCTTCTTGAACGTGGAAGGACGAATGTGAGATCGAACGAAGTGCTTGTTCTAAACCGGAACTATTGTGCGTAAGATAGCGCGCCTAACGCGTACGGTGTTTTTAGAATACGATTTAGTATATGCGCTAGAGAGTATGCACGGCGGTGTTCAAAATCCTCTTCGAATTGAAAATTCAGATAGCCAGAGAAAGATCAAAGTAAAAAAAAAACTAATCCGCACGATGCAAAAAAAGGATGGCGAGTCCAATTTTTCAAAAATCGACCATTAGTTTTGAAGTAAGCTCGTTCGCAGGAGTGATCGATACTTAATTTTCGCTTTACTGATACATGGCGGTTGTTTACAATGGCTCACGGAAAAATGCGAGATTTTTATCCTCGATGGCGGACGAGAAAGGATCTTGAGCAGCTAAATAACAAGTACTCGGGGCCTCTTTGCGGGGCCGCGTTCTTTGATCCGCAGGTGATACTGGACGTGCAACAATTCTCACCGGACGAGATCACGGTGAAGACGATTGACAATCACGTCGTTGTTGAGGCCAAGCATGAGGAGAAGCAGGACGAGCACGGCTACATCAGCAGACACTTCGTACGCAGATACGTCCTGCCTCCGTCTCACGACCTCGTCAACATCACCTCGACCCTCTCTTCGGATGGTGTACTAACTGTCACGGCGCCCAAAAAGGTACGCTCGATCGAACCGAGACAATCTGCGTTAACATTCGACCCACTCCTTCATTCGCGGATTCAACCGCGAACGAACGGACCCTTCTCTCTCCCTCTCCCTCCTTTCCTCTCTCTCTCTCTCTCTCTCTCTCTCTCTCTCTCTCTCTCTATCCCTTTCTCTCGCTCTTTTTCCCTTCTCTCGTCTTTGATATAACTGGTGCAGCTTACGTTACATATTTGACTTTTGCTTTTCAATTCCGACGTTCCCAATGCTGCGCCTCAGTGTGCAGTACTAGAGGAGGCAGATGGTGCCGACGGTTTTGGATCAAACACTATGAGTCTGTTCTAAACTACAAAACAGAATATGTCTTGTTAACGTACAGAATTCAAAATATAGTCTTTATGCGTGGACGAGGCACATTCGCGATATCAGATCAGCGTGTGTCGATTTTAAAGGACGTTCCTGAAACTCGGCGATACCAATGCAAGAGCGAATAACAAATTATCGTGAGAAAATGATGATGACACGTTAAACAGTGCTCTCATCTCGATACTTAATCCCTCTGATTTAAAAGCAATTGCATTTTCAGTGAGTTTCAGAAATAGAATTCTGTTAAAATCGATGACACAATTAGTCGATAATCGAGTGTTCCTCATCAGACACGTAATACGGTTTTAATTTATTATATTGATTAAAATTTATTGATCATAAAATTGATCATTTATCAATATCGATCGATATCGATCGATTTATCACTATTGATAAAATATCGATCTCTTTTTTTTTCCTATTTGTAGGAATTTATATATCATCTTTCTTATATTTTAGACGCTGTCAAGTATCATCAAAATGAATATGATTGTAAATACATTAGAACATAGAATTATTTTAAACAACTTCATAAAAATTTTGATTGTAATTCTATTGTGATAATTCTATGACGTGTAAAAATTAATTTTATGTTATCGGGGCAAAGACTTATTTTTCACTATCGACTAAGAATAGTTCAAAGCATTTATTATTCATGTTATATGCCTCGCACTTTGACCTTAACGTATTTTTAACTTTTTTAATTCATCGTCCATAGACATAATTCTATTATCTTAATGTATAATATATTATCGTGTCTAGACATCTTATGCGCTTACCTATATCTCGAAGTTCTCTTCTCATATTTGTTCAAAGCGTGAAGGAATTTCAAATTCTAATCACAGCTATTATCGTCGTGTACGGATTGTTCAAGCACCGACCCCGTAGGGTACACTAAAAAACACAAACACATAGCTTTATAATTCATTTATCGAATAACGTGACCAACGTTTATTTTACATTTTCAGAACGTGACGCCGGCTGGCACGGAAAGAGTCATCAGCGTTGTTCAAACGGGAATACCAGCTGCCAAGCCGGTTCCCGTCGAAACAACTGCTACTACTACTACTACAACCACTACCACCAACTGAAGAATTTATTATTCGAAACTTTCATTCCGACATTCACTTCATTCTTTTACTTTCTCAATTCTAATAATGTAAAACAATTTTGTATAACAAAATTGTGTCACATCTAATAATTTTCTAATATTTATTTCACGAAGATATAATTTTTTATGTATAATATAAATATATTTCGTTACATCGTTTGATATCAATTACAAACAAATTACATTTTGTTTGTTTTCAATCTCTAATATATCAAAATTATCTTTATCAAGAGAGTTAATTTTAGTTTCAATTTAACTGATTCTCTCTTTTTGTCTCTTTCCGATATTAGTTCGACAAGAGAAATAATAGATCTCCAAGAGACAAAAAATCTGAACAATTATCTTACAATTATCTTAATAAAAGAAATCAAGTTTAATAACAAATAATATAATTTATGTGTGTATAACTGGGATTTAGAGGTTGTCAATTAAAAAGAAGAAATACCAAAGTATTAAGCAGTCACAGTTTAGTACATTCTCTCTTCCTTGATATTACTGCTTTCCAATTGTATTAATGTAGCAAAATAATTTTCTCCTTTCCATTTCTTCAATTAAAATTATTTTAATGAAAGAAATCAAGTTTTATGATAAATAATATAATTTATATGTGTGCATAACTAAAATTTAGAGACTGCCAATTAAAAAGAAGAAATATCAAAGCCTTAAGCGTCACAGTTTTGTATGCTCATCTTCCTTGATATTATTACTTTTCAACTTGCATTATCTATATAGCAAAATGAATTATTTTCTTCTTCTCTACACATTCATTCTTATTGTAATAAAACTACCGTGATAAAATATAATGCACTAAATCTAGTTAAATCAATGGATTAAATAATCGTATTGAAGTTTCATGAAATAAAAAAGAAAAAATCCGAAATCGGGAAATACCTACGGTAAACTGTCGCGCTCCGCACGTAGTGCCCGCTTGCCTACATTTTCCCGTGCCGGCGGTCTCGACGAAGTAAGAAGCCGAAGTGTATTACACTGATGATGGAGGATGAAAGGGGTCTTCGGGTGTTCGCAGCGTCCGAACTGAACCAGGGTTTGTTTACGAATGCGCCGCGGCTGGCCGGCCGGCCGGTTTATATAGGTACGCGCCGCGTCGCCGCAAAACGGAGGAAGCTTCGAGATCACCGCGTCCTTACTCCGCGTCACATAATGCGCAATTCCTTATGACCGATTGTTTCAGGTCTTAGCGATATTTGGTCCCATCCGGGATCGCAATAATCGATATCATCGTGACGAAATCTGTCGATTGATGCGTCGTCCGATGCATTTTTTTCACGTTACAAGAGAGAAATTCGCAAATGCCAAGTATTGATCGGTCCCCGGCCGGCAGGGACGACGGGATTTCTGGCACGTTCGCTCAGCTCAGTCGAAGAGGCCCCACCATATCATCCAACCCACACAGGAGAACGCCGCCGTTTCCCCTGTTCACCCCCGCACCATTAGCACGGTCAACCGGTATGTGATATAATACCGCTTGTATAATGTAGCGTTGCCTTTTCAGCTGCTTCGTGCGGCTGTATGGTACGCGTCGATTTGTTTTGTATTTTGACGACAAAATCTGCGGGAGGACCAAATTAAAAAACGATCATGGAACCTATTGCGTAGCAAAATTACTACGAAGACATAATTTGCGTGGAATAACCTTGGGACAAACTTCGTCCGAATTATTACTCCGGAAGGAATTATATTCGCAAAATGATTGATTTATGTTAATCGGAGACCGCGTTCTAGTGTGTAAAATTCGTATTCTATAACGTACAATAATGAGGATTTTGTTATCGCTAACAAAGAAGAGAGAGAGAAAGAGAGAGAGAGAGAGAGAGAGAGAGAGAGAGAGAGAGACTTGTTGTCGACAGATTAGAAGATTGTTTTCGAGAATATTTTGTTAACGTTAATTTTGTAGGGAAGGAAAGAGGGACGCCATGCGGCGTGACCCAACATTACGAAACTGCGCGCGCGTATATGTGTGTACTACACCAAATATTGAAACGTAGTTTCTTCGGCCAGAAAGCGTTCGTGGTGGGATTTCCGTACTGCGCAGCAGCTCCAAGTGACCTTGCTGCCGTTCCGACGTAGTTTTTTTTATCAGCTCTTAAGGCGAATGACAGCTATTTTTATGAGATTTCGAGGCGCGGTCGGGACCCGGCCGGCAACGCGTATTATATTTGCAAACGCACAACAACCGGGTTGATTCACGCATGACACAGCCGATAGCGTGAGAATGAGCAATTTCGACGCAGACACGAAATCGCCGGCGACACTCGGAGACGCAAATATTACGTAACATAATGCCAATATATAACACTCGCCTCATTATGTTTGGCAAATGTAGGTCGCAGAGATCTTCGCCTAGAAGACGCGTAATTATGGAAGAGAAAAAAAGAAGAAGATAAATGAATCTTTACATTTGCATTAGAGATTGCACGGTTTCGACGATGCGCGACCGTCGGGCAACGGCGCATAATAGCGAGGTTACAATCGGGTTGCATAATATTACGTTCGTTCCTCTTTCGGTGTATCATGTACCGCTCTATCGATTTCCTTTTCATATCGCTCGTTAGCCCGACTCGAACGTATCACAAAGGACGCTCCTTTTTAAGTAGACGCAATTAATGCAATTTTATTCAGAAATATATGAGGGTCGTGCGCGCGTCAGATACTTATCTCTCTCCCTGCGAGATCGTCTTTTTGTCGGCCGTTAACAACGGCTAGCGGATTAGGCTCGAATGGAAGGGTGAACGGAACTACTTGTATACTTCATAGAAATATGCACAATGTGCTGTGCGATATCTCGTTACATTCAGGTGTCATTCAGAACGGTGTAATGAAATGCGAAGGTAGACGGTTGCCAACTATGTTGCATTAAATGGGAACGGCGATGATCTGTGGGAACTTTCTCAACGACATGTTTCTCTTTTTACCAATCTTGTCGGAACGAAAATGGTATACAGTTAGTGAACATCACTAACAAATATACTCTCAATTAGTACATCTTCCCATCGATGTATCTTCTTTTCCGTTTTTGATAGATCACTGAAACAAATCGACTTGTTAGGAAATCCAAACTATAGTTAAATTGAGAGCATGCTTTTTCTAATCTTAAGAAATTATTTTTATTATAAATCGTTTTCAAGACAAAGATTAATTAAAAATTAATACATTTACAGTTGAGAAATTTCGTGTAATTTGATGTATATATTTCGAATAGTTTAAATTCATTCATCACGTTTTTCTCGCAAGTAAATTTAGAACGAGCGATACGACTGAGAAACCTGTGGTTTTTATGTGGTTTTACGTTTCTGATTGTGTGATTCTCCGGAGGTGATATAGCTCTGCAAATAATTCAAACAATAAATACAAAGTATATAGAATACATTAAATTTCAAATGTATATACATTCTATACATTAGCCCAACAAAGTTACATGTAATACGTATGGTTAATTATAATTAACGTATGGTTAATTATAATTTCTCGTTCAACAATATAACACGTGTGTTATATTACAGTTATATTGTTAAGTGAGAAATTACAAACTAAAGGGCCTATTCTGTAACTCTTAACTCTTACTCGACTGTAACTGTAGCGTATATAGTATATATTATAGTATCGTTGATTTTATACATGATGAAAAAGCTGCGAAATGATACCATAACGTTACAGTTACAGTCGTTAAGAGTTACAAAATAGGTCCCAAAGACCCCTATTTTATAACTTGTAATGACAATAACGATATCGTTACGCAAGTTTTGTACACGATAAAAGCAACATAACAACCACATAACGATCTCGTTAGAGTTGAATTACAGAATAGAAGTTTAACGAAAGATACGTGATTTTGTGCTTGCTGGCAAATCTTTTAATGTCTAACGATATTATACTGTCTAATTTTGCGTATTTCTTATACTCCTATAATCTTCTCTTTGAATGCTTTTTATTATTTTAGATTTTTTTAAGATTAATGTTCTAGACATATTTTTTTAGATTCGAATAACTTACATTAGCAATTAATAATAATATGTAGCTGTTTGCTTTGAAAAGATTTTAGTAAAAAAGAAAGAAGATTATCAGATATTTCAACAAATCGATATAAAACGCAGATATTGCAATTTAGGTGTTTCCATCATGTTCCAGAACATTCGAGGTTCAGCTGCAGCAGCTAATCGATAGATGCACGAAGTGAGTTATAGATATAACGTATAGAAAGTGCGCAAATGTTCGCTGTCTCCGACCCAGCAAAATAAACGCATCGATTACACATTTCATCCATTATTTCCCTTTCCACGATTGTATTGTCAGCAAAAAAAAAACAGGAATTACACAGTAAAGATTAATATAACCACTACTCTTCGTTCCAAGTTATAAAAAAATTCTACATTATAATTCTTGCGACTGATATTAATATCTTAGTGTAAATTATAGCAGCCTTATGCTATAATAATCGTATAGTTAAGTTTCTTTTCAGCAAAATATACAGTTTACAATGTGGCAGAATAAATAATAGCTTTGTGTAAAGTTAGACAATTTCCCTCCTCATCTATATTAAACATAATAAGTTGTTTAGACTTCACTGCACAGCTAGGATAATGCGTCTTCGTGCAAGGGTGAACAGCTATTACGCAACATAGAACAAAAATTGCCCCACCCTAATCGTGCCGCGCAGAACTTCGATCTGCCGAGAGGGAAAGGTAAAGAGACGCTGCGTCGCAATATTCTCTCCCTCGAAACTCTTGCTATAAAGTTTTCTACTTGTCGCGGCACTGCGGTTTACCTTCATCAACTCGCTACATAAATAACGAACTCTTGTCCGCGGTGCTTCTCCAACCGCGGTTTAGGTAACCTGCCCGCTGGACTAATTTTAGTTACTTCGCTGGTATTGCGCGACCTTGAACTCGGCAGTCATGTCGAGGCTGATATTGCAGCCGGGTCGGGCCACCGATGGGCTTGGATCTCAAAATTTTGAATTCCGGTCGCCAACCGGTCGAGTGAGTAGCTGGTTTGCAACGATCTGCCCTGTGACACTTGTGGCACGACAATACTGCAAGTAGATATACCTTTTCCACGAGGGCTAGATGGGCGTTTTCGAGCCCCGGGGTGCACGCAGGTGTGTGTGCAGCCTGGAGCGTGAGTTTCTCGAAACGTCGACGAAACGCCCTGTTATCGATCGCATCCATGACCAAGTCCCAGCCGGCGAGAGTGTGTCGCTGGGTGAAGGTTGATGAACCTTACACGTACGTTGTTTTGTCCGGCGGTGCAAATTCGACGTACCCATAGAATACATTATAGCGAAATTACGCAATCTTACAAGCTGCCATGCGGAATTACGCATCAGGATTGTTGAGCAAACTGTCGGAGACCTTTATTCGCAAAATATACTGTCATGTAATATTATGTTACTTCCATTAAAGTCGAATTACATTAATAATTTAGACTATAT